CGCTACCAGTTTTGTTTATTTATCCCTGATTCCCTATCGTCGCAATATTGGATAATAGTACAAAGGCACTTGGCTCACATGGCACTCGCAACTTATTAGAGGAGCTGAACTTAACACCAACGTGAAATTATTGATCATCCCCATTAAATATCTCACATCACCTGTATATACTGCAGACTCCTACGAAGGTGAAAGTCGAGGTAACCATGGTGAGCAGTAATTACCATATCGAACTCAATCCCAGCGACGTTGGCACCCGCGACTGCTTCGTCATACAAGCGGTGCTCAAAGAGATGGCACAATCACAGCAAATAGACTCAAATTCACAACGCAGCTACAAGGTTGTTGTACTGCACGAGACCGATCGTCTTACCAAGCAAGCCCAACAGGCCCTTCGTCGCACTATGGAGAAGTACGCGGCCACCTGCCGATTGATCCTGTGTTGTTCGTCTTCGTCCCAAGTTATGTCTCCAATCCGGAGTCGTTGTTTACACGTGCGTGTGGGTGCTCCCACAGTAGAAGAGATTGCGAACGTGCTTTTAGGTATCTGTAAGAAGGAAAATCTGCGTATGCCCGAGGCGTTGGCTGTGAAGATCGCCGAGAGTTCCGAGCGGAACTTGCGGCGGGCTATCTTGACGGCCGAAACATGTCGCGTACAAGAGTAAGTTTAAGTTTGTAGTTGCGTTCGCCTGCGTTTTGCTTTTCCGCAGCATCCGAACTTATCCATTGAACCTTTTATTCCGTACGAAATCTCAATTGGTAACTCTGCGTATAGGCTTGGCTGTGCTCGTATGCTTTGTATATTTAACAATACAAGGAAGTGCGAGCACCTCCACCCAAATACATGATCGCTCTTTAATGTATTCAAGCATACAGAGGGTACCAAACGCACGGATGTAGTAGATATCTTAGTGCTATCCCATATATATGATCGCTCGTTAATGTATTCAAGCATACAATACAGTGGGTGCCAAACACAAGGATGTAGTAGATATCTTAGTGCTGTCCCATATATATGATCGCTCTTTAATGTTTTCAAGCATACAATACAGAGGGTGCCAAACACAAAGGTGTAGTAGATATCTCAGTGCTGTCTACATTCAAGTGAGCGAGACACCTGTATGTATCGCTGATAGCAATTACTCGGATATACATTGCCACCGTGCGCATGATGTCTAGCATATAAACAACTACATAAATACTTCTTTATGAGTCAGGCAGGCATAAAAGAACAGTCGCAGCGCATGTGTGGTTCATGTGCGGTCTTTGGTGTTGTACATGTTTATGAATCGGTAGTATGCATAAGTTGTACGAATATAAAATATTTTACACATTAGGTATATTTTGTTCTCCTTGGATATGGGCTATCAGATCGATGAGGCTCGTTTTAGGACACTTTAGAGTATGCCATCAAGACGTATAAGAGAAGCTGTGCACGGTGTTTAGATCTGCTGGCAATTAGATATGTGTTTGACAGGTGTGCCTATTCATGCGTTAATACACGATCAATAAATATGTACCATATTTGCACAGAGGTGCATGCTATGATTGGTGCCAGAGCATAGTCTAGAACCAAGGGAACTTCACGTCCACCATCATGTGTATGAAACCAGTGTTTCTAGCTGTCGCGGCGATTGCTTAAGTGTCAGCTGTATCCAAGTATACGCAATATAGTGCCGCGGGGCACCACAGCAGCACAAGGCTTTAGCTGTCAATTGGCTTGACATCATTGATCATGCGTGCGCATTACGTACACCTTGTATATACACAGTACGCATCTTTACCCCGGGCTAGTTATATACAATTGATGGTTTGCATTGGCCTTGAATATGTTACTATCACAGATACCCCTTTCGCGAAGATCAGAAGGTGACACTACCTGATTGGCAGCTATACATTCGGAGCTTGGCCCAGAAAATACTCACGCAACAAAGCCCTCAACGACTACTGGAAGTCCGCACAGGGTTCTATGAACTGATTACACATTGCATACCAACCACAGTCATCATTAAGGTTCGTACTTTCGCTTTGTAATTGACTTTGATGTCATACGTCTATGAGATAATAGTCGCCTCTTCACTTGTCGACTGAAATTCTCGCTGTAAAAGACTTATTGCGAGGCACTTCCTCGGAGCTGTATTCCCCATCGGTCTATTAGCTGCTCCTCGCAGACCGCACTTTAATTATCTGCGCATATTATATATATATATATATATATATATATGTATATAAATATATATA